TATTGTTCTCATTGTTACAAACAACGAGAACAATAGAAACCCGTTTCCTGACTTACTGAACACCCTGTATATGTGTGTGTGTGTGTGTGTGTGTGTGTGTGTGTGTGTATTAAACATATGCATGGTGATTCGTTTATCCACTTAATCAAACAATAAAAAAAATATTAATAATTTTTTTATTTGTTTCTTTTATTGATTTTATCTTTTATTTAAATTGAATAATTACATGATTAAATATCATTTATTACATAACTTGTGATTATTCAATTACATTTACATACGAAACAGTTTAATTTACATAATTTAAGAATCTCCATAAGTAAATAGTTGTAATTTCGATACGAAATTTCGTATACATTCAGTTTAATGCGTTTATTTATTTTTTTTTTTAAACTATTGCAATTAATACTACTATATTACTAATTAATTCTAATTACGACTGCCTTGAGAATTTTCAAAAATATAATAGAATTTTTTACAATAAACTTAATATTTATTATGGTTGGCAAAAATAAATAGTACTTTTTTGAGTAAATTTTTGAAAAATAATTATTATTACCTCAAACCAGAAGGTATCATAATAAACCTCCATATAAACAGAGTAATTTTATAATATGTAAATTATTTTTTATACTTACCAGAAATATAAATCGTGGAATATAATTTGAATTCATTTTTTTTTCTTTATAATTAATAGTTATCACTGTAGTTAGTGAAAGTAATAGAAGTTTACAATTCCACTATTTAGAGTTACTCGGATATTATTTTTTCTAATTTATAATATAAAGCAAGACTGTCATATTTAAATATATTTTTAAAAGAAAAAAAATCAATTATTTTTATTTAAGCTTCAAATTTTATTTTTAAGCAAATTTTGAAAAATATTATGATTGTTCAAATGGTTTTGATATTTGCTAAACTGTTAAAAAAGTAAATTTATTTAGAAATATTTTCATTTCATAATACACATTTGTCAGTAAATCGACCTATAAAAAAAATAAGGTATAATTGGGAAAATATATTCAATAAATATGAATTATAATTCATATTTAAAAATAATTATTTTTAATACTATATTATACACATATATATGTTACGGGTAAAGTACAAAATATGGTTAGTGTTCACATTATCCGGGTAATGTGTACACTACCTGTACCTATTGGATAAAGTAAAAATACTATTTATAAAACGTTTATTTCGTACTTTACTCGGGTATTTTACACATTATCTACGACTGAGTGGGTAAAGTACTTTGATAAAATGTATATGATAAAATAACGATTGTAGATAAATGTTTATGAAGAAACACACGCAATAATATTTAGTACAGTGCTAGTTCGTCTTAATACACGCGTCGTACATATAATAGGTTTTTAAAATGACTTCACGTGAAAAATTTTATGAATGTTTTTATAAAATAGTTAATGAAAAAAATAATAATTCAGTTTATTTATCGGCAGTTAAGTATAATGAAATAGTTTCGGAAATTAAAAATGTGAGATCAAGTGGAATAAAAAGTAACAAGGCATATCGAATTTTGAAAAAATACGACCTCATTACTATTGGAGAAGAAGATAAATTAATATTGCCGTTGTTGGAAGGTAATACAAACATTTTGTACTATATTACTAATGAAAATATCTATGATGTGCTACACGATGTACATTTGAGTATTGGGCATGGTGGAAAACACCGCATGAATGCTGAAGTTAAAAAAAAGTATAAAAATATAACACAAGAAGCAGTGTCTATTTACTTAAAGTTTTGTGAATCGTGTCAATCTAAACAAAAATCTAAAAACAAGGGTCTAGTGATTAAACCAATGGTGTTTTCGGAAATGAATAGTAGGTGCCAAGTGGACCTGATTGATATGCAGTCGCAGGGGGATGGAGAGTTCCGGTTTATTATGGTATATCAGGATCACCTTACTAAATTCGTTCAACTAAGACCCTTAAAAACAAAGAGAGCAGAAGAAGTTGCAAAACACCTTATCGACATATTTTGTATTTTTGGAGCTCCGATGATATTACAATCTGACAACGGCCGCGAGTTTGCAAATAAAATAATAGAAGACTTAAAAGAAATGTGGGACACACTGAAAATTGTTCACGGAAAGCCACGCCACAGTCAGTCACAAGGAAGTGTCGAGAGAGCAAATCAATACACTTCATCACTATAACTATTCCTTACTCTGTGATCGCAATGTAAGCTTTACAGAAGGAGTTGCATCATTAAGTATAGAAACTGATATGCTGTTGACTGTCAAAATGTCTCTTATCGCATAACACACCAGACGCTTCTCTCCAATTCACCTACTCGAACATAAATACAATTAACAATGGCTATCCAATTTTCACATTTGTTGTTTCCCAAAAAAAATTCAATCACATATTTTAAGTAACCCAAGCATTTTTTCAATACTTGTAGTGCAAATTAAAATTGTTATCCTTTATAGAATTTTTTTTACAAAATTATAGCCGTGATGATTATTCTTTAACTCTTATTTTGTAATCTTTTCTTGGCAATTAGTAAAATAATTAAACAAATAATGAAGACAAATAAAATCTAATTATATCAAGTATTCAGCGTAAAAAAGTATGTAAATTCGGGAAACATCACAACAATTATAACAAAAAAAAAAAAACAATTTTCATGAAATGTCTAGATTTATGCATATTTATTCTATTAACATTAATTATATCGATTATATATTATGCATTAAGAGAACGATAAATTTTTTTAAATCATCATAAAATGCTTTCATTTGTATTATTATAAATTCATAACTTGTTATGGCCAAAAAAAAAAATGTTACAGTGAAATTTTCAGCTTAATTTTTTAATAAATGAGTTCTATAATCAAGTTTAAAAGTCCAGGAAAACAAGTTTAACTTGTAGCTGTCTCAAATTTTGCAAAACTCTTATAATACAATTAAAACAAATTTAAAGAGTTTTAAGAAAAATAAATGTTTTAAACATTTTTCATGAATTTTTAAATGTGTAATTATCGTTCATTTACTAATAAGTAAACATCTCAGAATTCAGATGCCATGGAACAAATCTGAATCCACATTTAGAATTTATACAAACATTGAAAACCACAGAATTTTTTTTTAATTTTCCTGTGTTTTTTATCAATAGAACTCTAGAAATATTTAATGTATGTTACTAACCCAAGAGAAATATTTGAAATCTTTATATAACCTGATTCGCCATTTTTCACCACAATGGATCAATTTTTCCTTGCATATTTCTTTTGTTTGAAAACCCCAAGCAGCCAAAGGTGCATTTTTTTGTGTGCATATATATTCCACTAAATAATCATCAATTTGTTCAGTAGTTCTTCCACATGCAGCTAGTAAAACTCTTAGTTCGTTAAATTAACAAGCAATTGACGATCTTATTATATCTAAAATCATGATATATTTTTCATTTGTATATCAATTTATACTTACAAGTAAACAAACACCTTTTTATAGGCATATTTATAAATATATAAACAGGACAAAATGAAATTAAAAAATTTTAAGTATTCCTATTAGCCGATAAATCATAAATATTTGGGATAATATTTTATTCATTTTTAAGTACATCGTATAAGCTTTAATTTAATGTAGGTGTAAAAGAGTCAAGTTTTTTAGGACCAAGTAAAATTTTTATACTCCTTTCGCTCCAGTACTTTGGCAAATGATTAGATTTTTAAGTGTTGTAAATGAAAACTTTGCAATGATTTATTCAGTTTTCAATAAGTTATTTCAAATAAAATCAAAAATAATAATATAAACATTGACTGTTTTAACATAATAAAATAGGTTGGAAACCTTTTTTTTTACAACCGTTAAGTTGGTTAATACCATTAGTATATCCTGTGGAAATTTAAGTGCAGTGGTTTCCCGTTGCCTTCTGCACTGGGAACATGGTGCTTTTTCGCCACCGTAGAAGCGCATGCATGGTCACCCATCCGTTCACCTACGGCTGTAGGCGCGGCTTAACACTAGAGTTTTGTCAACAACTAGTGTGTCCGCCACGGCCTCAGAATCCCTCTATTTTATATTTTAGAGGAGTGTAAGGGTATAGACTTATTTCTGTTACAAATTAACAAATATCTAAAAGGTGTTAATGGATCTTCTAAAAATTTTAAAAATACATTTTAGATATTAAGAAAAGTTTATAATATTGAATAACCGGAGAAAAAATTTTTTTGACTCCTTCCCAAGTGAAATTCTAGCTACGTCCATGCTGAAAGTATTAATTTTATTAATATGTTTTTTTATTGTTATTATCTCATTAATATCAAGTAAATATCTTAACTTCTACCAGATGAATATTAACAACCAATACGTCAAATGATCTTGAATTATATACAGCTGAACTAATTCTACATTTATTCACAAAAAAATGTACTTTAAAAAAATTCTACCATCACCGTAAACATACCGGTACAGGAAAACCCTTTTTTGCTTATTAATTCTATTATTTGAGCGAAATTGGGAGGGCCCCATGTTATAAATTCCTAAAAATTTTTAGTTACAACATGTACCACTCCTGATCAGTTAACTTAAATTATTTTAGCCCTTTTAAAATTTAAACAATTATTCGTTTATGGATTCCTTATACGTATGTTTGTGTATCTATTTGTTATATAATATGAAAATGTATACATTTTTTTCAAATCGAAACGTTAAAATTTACGTTTCACACTCCTTCGCCTGTAATTAAACATTACATTAACTTAAAAAATAGCATTTTAAAACTGGTCATTGACATTCAAAATTGTATTTAGATCATTCTTCATTTGATAGAAAAAAATAACAATACGTTCCCATTTAACTTTCCATGAACTACAATAAAATAAATTACCAAGTCATTTAAATATTAAATTCTTACAAACATTTTTTAATAACTCAAAATTTATTCGTACATATTGGAACGTTTAAATTTTAGTATTGATTTGAAGTGTATTAGAAATAAAAAATGTTCGTAATTACCTTGTACGGATAGGATTCAAAACTTGAAATATATGTATAAAAAGTATACATTTTTCTACAAGAAATACAATTTTGTGCACAGATCATAACCCATTGGTTATGATATCCGCAAAAATACATAAATCGGCAAGTGCGGCTCAATAGGTAAACGCTGTGGAATATATTCACGGGGCGCCCAACGTCGGCAGGAAATTTAAGACATCCAAAAAGGGTTTACCTAATACTGAACCAATGCACAGTCGACTAGGAGGACGACAACGTAAAACATTTTGTGTAGCGCCGTGTTCTCTGCGGATACAGTCGCGCCATACAATTAGCGACTTGTGTAGTCGTTTCCACAGGCACGGCGCGCGATTATGTAACCGCTAAACAACGACGAACCGTTTTCGAGGCACTTCGTGATTTTAACATATCTATTATATAAGCGGATCAATCAAGTACATTATAACGATTACGATTTCAGAAAAATTACCACCTGTAGATAATGACTGTTTTAGGTATTATTCTACAGTAAAAAAATTTAAAAAAACAATATTTTTTATGCAAATCAATATCTAATAAAAACAACGAGTAAAATATGTTTAAATAAGTCAGTAGTACGATAGCAGAACAATTAGCAATTTTTTATCGCACTAAAAGATTTGTAAACTCAATTTTTACAAAACAATGAGAGATTAGAACACCAATGTTGACAACATGAGCGTTCTCACTGGGAGGGCATGGGGGATAGAAACCCCTCCATGATGAAAATAAATATATGGTAAAAATGGAGAGGATATAAAAATATTTTTTATGTATATTTTCCCAAGACGAAATCCTGAGAACACTATTGTTGACAAAAATGTATTATAACAGTGGAATACATACGAATGACATAACTGATGTAAGATTTCTCAAAAGTACACTGATTAAAACAAAATTTTGTTATTACGTGTCTTATATTATTTTTCAGGAAAAAATAATGTTATATAATTTATAATTATATAACATTATAAATTTTAATTTATCAATTATATACCTGCTGATACACTAAGTTTATTTTCTAGGAACCCATTGAAGAATTTTGATTTTTGTAAAAGAATTTTCGAATTAAAATTTTCAACTTTAAAATGCTATAACTTTTCGAAAAATGTATGTATCAGCACAATTTTTTTTTCTTCTAAATATATTATAAGTATATCTTTCATTTGACATAATTTTTATTAAAATTGGACAATTTCCCTTTTTATGGGGGACGTACAAAACTTGAAACATTGTATAGAACTTTTTCATCTTAACTTTTGAAAATGTTCCGGAAATACTGAGTCCTTTAAACATATAAGAAATCAAATCTTATGTAATGTACTATAAAATGAAAAAATAAAAATTTCTCCCGACACCTTATAGTCTACGAGTAAAGTGCCACAGAAATTTAAAAAAAAATGTAATATTTGCAAAAAAAATCAGCTCCACGATAGGAGCTTTTTTCCAGAAGTTTGTTAGTATTTTAAATATTTAAATTATCATAAAAAATATAGAACTATCCTACCCCTTTTTCCTCTAAATTTTATCATTTTAATTTTTGAAGTACGATTGGTCGACAACCACTTTGAACTTAGTTGTTACGTTTTAAACACTGTTTTTGAACCAGTATTTTGGAAGTTATTAAGAATTTAATAAAAAGACTGAACGTAAAGTGGGAGTGTGTTTGTTTTCATCTCAAGCTATTTATGAATTACATTACGTCTCCCGTCATGGAATAGAAATTTTAATAATTTCCAAAATACTGGTTCTAAGGATACTATCGACCAGTCTTTTTCTTATTTGTTTGCAAGGAAAACATGTATGTCTCCGTTAATAAAACTAAAGGTGATACAATTGTAAGAAAAAAGAAAAGGGGATAGAGCTATATATTTTTTTCTGTTAATTTAAGTATGTAAAATGATCATAACTTCTGAAAAAAAATTAAATTTTATCCTATACTTGAAAATATTCTGTGAGACATAGTCAATCAACGGGTCATTTTGTATTACCAATAATCATAAAAACTCCTTTTATCATTAAAAAAATTCCTCGTGATTAATTAATAAAGAACATGCGCTGTCAAATATTATTATCAAATAAGTAAAATTAAAACTATATTAAAAATATTATTAATTTAAAAAACTAAAAAATATTAAAAACCAATATCAATAACTATTTTTCATAAGTTTATTTGAGTCAAAGTAAAAAATTCTACAAATCAAAACAAAAAAACTGAGTAATATTTCTACTACACAAGATTTGAAAGATAATTGTTGATAAAACCCCAATCCGCTCGGTCACCAGATTACACTCATTAATTGTCTGGATTATTATGATACTATACTGTAGTAAATACTTATTACTAAAATAATAAAATCCCTACAATGCACGAAGTAGCAGATTTGCAACAAATTAAAAAATAGGAATAATTCATTTCTTAGACCTGTTTTTATAAATAGTTCACTTTATTGGATAGTATCGTTAAAAATATAATAATAAGTGCATAAATTTCTTAAGTACTATATTATTAATTTAAGGATAATCATTTAAACTTTAAAAGAAAAATTTCTTTATACATATTTTATTATGCTTCGATCATCATTAATAAAATTCTAAACATTTAACTACATAGAGTTAAAATAAAACATATCG